ATCAACTGGTATTCTCGTCAAGAAGAAGCAAACAAGGTAGATTTGATGATTCTACGTCGATTAAGAAATGTGAAGTAACAATAAAACAAACAAATATTTCGGAATAATTTAAAACAAATTGATTCGACTGTACTAACATAAATCCCTCTTATATTGTCAAATAAAACATACAACTAAAATTTGAGAGTTATACTATGATTTTTTTTAATGTTCTGTTAACCCCCTTTTCGATTATCCGTCATACCCTCGGTCCGGTGCCCTGACGGATAATCGAGGTTCCACTGTAATATAAAAATTCGCCCAAAGCAGATTCTAGATATCCGAACCTTAACCTCAGCAGACGCAGGGAGTGAACACAAACTAGTACTAGCAAAAATAATGAAAATAACACCAAACTATTTTCTACTGGAAATCACCGAAGAAAAATTCAATGTAGAATCACTGTGGAACGACTCGAAATGTGCCAAAGGAAGCTAGCACAGAAGATACAGCTGAAACAAATCGACGACATCAAATATATAAACGTGAGCTGGAAGAAAATTAAAAACAACATTGAAGAAGCAGCAACAAAAGCTCTAGGAAAACACAGTCATACTGAACAAAAGAAACAATAACAATACACCATGGTTCAGAAAAGAAATAAAAGAGAAAAATAAAGAGAAACGACAGGCCCATACGAAGTACACAAACAATACAATACAAAATGACAAAGTGCCCATACAATACAAAATGAAACAAAGCAGTTGTTAAGAAGAACAAACAATGAACACTGGGAACAATTTACAAAAAGGACGGAAAGCGACTTCTACGGTACACAAAAACGAATATGGAGATTTATAAGAAACCAACGGCAAGAAATGGCAAAATTGAAGGAATACAATAACATACCATCAAACGAATGGGAAGGATACATGAAGTAACTGTTTAAAGGAAAGGACAATAATAATCAACACAATAACGTACCTGAAGTAAGACACGAAATAGAAATTAGTTTTCAGGAAGTAGAAATAGCCATGCATTTACTCAAAAATAGAAAGTCACCAGAGCCAGATGGAATAAGCAACGAGCAAAAGAAACATACCAATCAATACTATTCAAACCATTCAAAAAATCTACTTCTATAATCGAATACAGGCAAAGATAAATGGAAAACTAACATAATGTATACCAGTGCAAAGCGGAGTCAGACAGGGTGACTCGTTAAGCCCACTTCTCTTTAATATAATAATGGACGAAATAATACAAGCAGTACGTAAAGGTCATGACTACAGAATGGGGAACAAAGAAATCCAAATATTATGATATGCAGACGACGCGACGACGCATTAATCGCCGAGACAGAAGACGAGCTGCAAAGATTAACACACATCTTTAATACAACACCCAAGAAGTACAATATGATAATATCAACAGAAAAAACCAAATGTATGACATCTAAAAGCCCAGGAAGCAAGGTTTAGATATCTGGGAATAGACATAACTAGTTACGGAGATGTTGAAGAAGAAGTAAGACAATAAAGCTTAAAAGCAATTAAAGCGGCGGGATCTCTTAATGACACAATCTGGAAGAACAAACACCTAAGACAAGACACAAAAACAAGAGTCTATAAAGCAGCAATTAGACCTATATTAACATATACGGCGGAGACAAGACCTCACACATCTAAAACGAGACGACTGCTAGAAACAACAGAGATGAAAATACTCCGACGAATATCAGGGAGAAGTCTGTTGGGTAGGGAGAGAAGCGAAAACGAGCATGCAATGATGGATGACAAAACGGAAACAGGAGTGGAACGAACACATTAGTAGAATGGCAGAGGATATAATAGTACGAAGAGCACGAGATAAGTCACGAAATGGACGAAGAAGTATTGGCATACCAAGAAAAAGATGGTGCGATAATTTAAACATTTTAGGAGGCTAATATTGAAGAAGAAACAGGCAAAATTATTTTTTTAATAACCAGAAATAATGTGTTAGGTGATTCAGAAGTTACTACAACTCTGGTTAGATTGATAGGGTTTGCTTGACTCCATCGACTATATAAAGGCAATTATGCGAAAAATATGCATCGACTATATAAAGGCAATTATACGAAAAATATGCAGTCAAAGTATTATTCGCTCTGGAGGATCACTAATTATATTTGTTAACTAATATTTTACATGGGATTAATCCACAATTGATTATAATGATAATTATTCTTTATATTTTGTAAAATTTTCATAATTGGCGGTGGATGGTTCGGATTAGAAATCGAAACATCAAAGCAATTGTACAAAATAATTATTATTTCAATCAATTGTGGTTTATAAAACATTATTTAACTTGTCACATGAATATACCACAAGAATACAGTTTCAGAAGTATATTTGGATGGTGTTTTGCAATAATAGTCTAAGCCACATATATGGATGGTGTTCTACAATAATAGTCTAAGCCACATATGTATGGTTCAGAGTAAATGAGCATATTGTGTCTACCTACTTTAAAAAATTCACTGATAGAAAATAAGTACTCACTTAAAATTTTTAACACACATTTTTAACATATTATTACGAAGTAAAAATGTTACATTTACAAAATATTTTTTACAACTGCTATAAAAAATAAATTTTGTGTTATAGTGCAGTTAGCAAAAAACATCTAACCTCACTACTTCACTTCTTCTTTAAGTTCCATCTTCTATCGAAGGTTGGAAATCATCATGGCTATGCGGACTCTGTTGACTGCCGCTCTAAAAAGTTCTGCACTACTGCATTCAAACCATTCCCTTAAGTTCTTAATCCAGGATATTCTTCGTCTTCCCACATTTCGCTTTCCTCGGATTTTGCCCTGCATAATAAGTTGTAATAATGCGTATTTTTGCCCTCTCATCACATGTCCCAAGTACTCAAGTTTTCGTCTTTTAATAGTTAATATTATTTCCGCCTCATTTCCTATCCTTTTAGTTACTTCCATGTTTGACATTCTTTGAATCCATGATATTCGTAGGATTCTTCTGTAACACCAAAATTCAAAGGCGGCCAACTTATTCAGATGAACTTGTTTTAGTGTCCAAGCTTCCAGACCATAAAGAAGAGTAGAGAACACGTAACATCGAAGCATTCTCAGGCGTAGTTCTAACCTTATATCCCGACAACAAAGAAAATTTTTAAGTTTAATAAATGATGTACGTGCTATTTCAATACGTGTCTTAATTTCTTTGGTTTGGTCTACATCTGATGTTATCCATGTTCCTAAGTATTTATAGTTATTAACATTCTCAATTGCAGTATCTTCAATAGTCAATTGGATATTTGCATGTGTAGATTTAGTCATGATCATGCATTTAGTTTTCTTTAAATTTATCTTCAGTCCGTACTCATGACAGCGTTCATTAAGGCGTTGCATTAGGTTCTGTAAATCATTGTTGTTATCCGTAATTATTACTGTATCGTCTGCAAAACGTAAGTTATTCAAAACTTCTCTATTGATAGATATACCTTCTATTGAGTCTGAGACCGCTTCTTGAAATACCGCTTCACTGTAGACATTGAAAAATAGTGGGGACAGCACGCAACCCTGGCGGACTTCTCTCTGTATTTTGATATTTTCGGTGTACTGGCTGTCAACTCTTACCTTGGAAGTTTGATTCCAATATAATTTAGATATAATTTTCAGATCACTACTGTCAATATTTTTGCTTTTTAATATATCTACAAGCTTTTTATGTTGAACTTTATCAAATGCCTTTTCAAAGTCTACAAAACATAAGTACATATCCTGATTCATGTCCATGCATCTCTGAGTCAGCACATTCAAGCCGAACAAAGCATCTATTGTAGTCATACTACTACTTCACTAACGTAGTCAATTTTAAACTTAGTATATTTATATTTCTGTATGTGCAAGTATTATAATATGGGCAGCTATCATAGGTCCAAATTAGTTTATCTGCCGTTTGCTGTTAATATTAAATAAAAGGTTTATTAAATAAAAATTTAATATCTTCTGTGAAATTTCAAGTCAAAATAAGTTTATACGTACTTAAATAATAAAAATTATAGTCACTGAAGTAAGAACACCAATTTTGTGATATTTTTCTTTAAAATATGACACCAACAGCCTAAATAATAACAACCTGCCGCACTCGTTTAAAACAATATGTTGAAATATCAAAGTCCTTTGTTAAAAAGGCATACAATATTTTGCTGATCAGAATTTTGACTATCAAGCAAAAGTTCCAATATTTTATATAATGAACAACTGATTTCGTTATTTGATAATGCAATTTTTTGTCGGCATTTATGGCACCAACATTCGAGTAATCGTAAAACATGTAATGTTACCTTTTCGGTACACTATCTGCGATAAAAGGAATTTAAACATTTCTTTAATCAATTGCTGAGCTGACAACACAGAAAATTCAGTTTTAAATAATATACTTTCGTATTTTACCGTTAAAGATAAAGCTTCTTGGCTTGGTGCAATTTTATTTATTTAAATAAAATTATAATATTAGTGTAATAATAAATTTCTTGTCTTTTAATAAGTCAAAATAAAGATTTGTTCAATTTAATGTTTTGCATCTGGTGCACACAATGAAAAGACCCTTACAAAGATTTGCAACAAGCGTCTAACCCACATATTTGTAATGAAAACATAGGTTAGACTATTTTTACAAATTTCTGTTTTCATATTATTTGAACAATGTGGTTTAGAACTTAGTTCACAAACGCCTCCATGAGTATGGATATGGCTGATATCATTTTTGCTTGATGCATTATGCATTATGATCGACAGTTTGACACATCTAACCTCATTTGGAAACAAATGTGGGTTATACGGTTGTTGGAAAACACCGTCCATTTGTTTTTATGTTAAAGGTCACAATATCCACATAACTAAAATAATAGAATTAAATTAAAATTAAAACTAATTTTAAAACAGAAATTAATACTAACTTAGCTATTTTTACTATAATCTAGATTTATTTAATTTTGATTTGCTTTCAGCGCTATCATTATTGAAAGTTAATGCGATTAACGACGTTATCGTAACTTTTAAACAAAAACCTTCCGAAGATAAAAAAGATGATTTAAATATAATTCAGAGTGCTTGGAAAGTGTTAGAAGATTTGATAGAAACACAGCAAGTTAAACAAATAGGAATTGCCGACGTTGAAGAAAATACTTTCACAAAGTTATACCAGTGGGCTAAAGTCAAACCCAGTATTATCCAAATCAACTTAGCAACTTGTTGTGTTGTACCGCCGTCACTGCAGACGTTTTGCAAAGAACATGATATCAAACTGTTAACACACAGTGATGCAGTTGGTAAGTTTACAGCAGTATATTTCTTTCTTGTAGTTTGTATATATATATATATATATATATATATATATATATATATATATATATATATATATATCTTCTTCTTCTTCTTCGTCTAGCCATTCACGTCCACATCTGAACATAAGCCTCTTCAAGTCTTCCTTTCCATTGTTTTTTATTGTACGCTACTTGTAGCCAATTTTTCCCGGCAGTCCTTTTCAGATCATCTGTCCATCTCATAGGAGGTCTGCCTCTGGGTCTTTTGTGTTGGTATGGTCTCCAGGTTAAAATTGATCTGTGCCATTTGTTTAGATCGCTCCTAGCTACATGTCCAGCGTATTCCCATTTCAGCTTTAATGCTTTTTGCACCACATCGGTGACTTTGGTTTTCTGTCTTATCCATGTGTTTGTTTTCTTGTCCTTAAGTGATATACCTAGCATTGCTCTTTCCATCGCGTGTTGACTCTAAGTATATTCATATTCTTTTTTGTGATTGTCCATGTTTGTGCCGCATAAGTTAATATCGGAATAATGCATGCATCAAAAACTTTAGATCTAAGATGTAATTGAATTTGTTGATTTCTGAGTATATAGTTCAGTTTACCGAATGCTGCCCAAGCTAACTTTCTTCTTCTTTTTATTTCTTCAGTCTGAATTTCCCTATTTAGGATTATTTTTTTGTTTTGGATATTTATATATATATATATATATATATATTTATATATATATATATATATATATATATATATATATATATATATATATATATATATATATATATCGAGATATATACTCACTCGTATCTCTTTTTCTATCGAGAGAACCATCCCTCTTTAGCCGAGAAAGAAGTTTCGTTTTTGAATGAACCACAACCACAGAGCATCTTCCACCATTCGTGTTGTGCTTTTCTCAGTGTGCAACGCTTTTGTAGAACTTTTACCGTTTCAATTTGTGAACAAAAGCCTTCGATAGTTTTTCTCGCGGTCAGTCGCTGACTGTACTTTTGCCCACGTATAAATCCCTGCAAATACTTTGCACGTATTCACCTTTTTCCTGTCTTTCCAAAGTTTGTAGTCTCTGTTCCATTGACTTGTACTTACGTTTAAGTGTTTCACTCATTTTAAGAACAGTTTTATGCATGATGTGAAACAGTTATTGTCAAAGAATATAATGTAAACAAGTTGAGACTTATTTACAGAGATCCGGCCGGACTAAGCGGAGACCGAACTAACGGGAGTCTACTATATTTGTTATAGTTCTACATTGAGACGGATATTGCAAATAAATGTTGTTATTTTTAAAATACGTTTTGTTTTGTATGTCCGGATTTACTTAGTCCATTATATCAATTATATCAGGTTATAACTTATTCTTCTTTTATATAAACGATTTTGCTTGTTCATTGGCGAGTTTATAAATAAGTATGTGAATTTATGAATCCTTTCAATCAGTAATCCATTTAATTCGGTGTTTCAACTACATATAGAGTACATTAACGAACTAAACATATGGTTTTGATTTCGTTTAGTTTGATATATATTTCCATTCCTAGTTCGCGGATACGATTTAACAGTATTTAATATATTTATTATATTCAATGTTGTCTGATACTTATTTTGATATTCGTTTTCATAATAATTTCGTTATAAGCTTATAATAACTAGTACTTACCTCATTAATTTTTTTTTTCAGATATTCTACCTGCACAGTCCATCCAAAGTATATTTGACAAACCATTGGTGCTTCAATGGGCCTTAAGGTTTTTGATACACGTGAAATGTAGGGGTGTTCTTACCACCAAGGGATATCTACTGAAGTTTCTTGATCAATAATTACTAAAAATTTTAATGCTTCAGAAAATTTAAAACTTTTGTGATAAAAAATGTATTATATATTTATAGTTGTGAATATATAGCTATTGAGATGATAACGGTTACATACAAAACACCATTTAAGCATTAAATATGTTCATTACTTCTAAAAAAATAAAAAAATTGTAAAACAACTTTACTCCTTATAAATTCCAAAGTTTGTATTTGTTTTCCTTTTACACATTATCTGACTTTACGTTCTGAAATTACTAGACTATATGTAATATATAGTTTTTTTAACAAATAAACTAGCATCATCTACGAGTTATTAGGAGGAACAAGGAACATATAAAATATACAATGATTTAATATAATTCTACATTAAGATTATTGTCATTTCGACAACATGGCAGCAGTTGGAGAAGTCAAGAAAGTGAAAATAAAACAAAAACTTAGAAAACCGAAGATTTCTAAGTATTCGAAAAAAAAAATCATATTTATACCTAAATCTGTGTCTTCTACAATTTTGACGGTGAATTAAAACGACATAGGGAATTTAAAATTGCATTCAACGACATATCGATTTATCTTTTTTTTTGGAGGTGAGAATCTTCAAAAGACCGCCACGGAAGGTGTCCCTGGTGTGTCGGATTCAGTCCGACACGCTGCACCGCGTGCTGAGACCGCCTACCGACTAAACTCACTCCCTCTTCCTCCAGCCGACGGGTCTGGAACCGTTCTTAGCGAGCATGTCTGACCCGTCGAAATTAATCATAGCTACCCCTAACACCTCCAGCGTGAATCCCCCCCCCCCGGGCCACGCACAGCGACCGAGAACGGAAAAGAGGGCGGTCGGGACGCTCCTCAACCCAAGATGGAACCAACCATAAGATGTCAGTCGGCAGTTACGAATAACTCCAGTCGTTTATACCTTCATCTATTCACTCTTTCGCATCCGTCCATTTATCCATACTTAGTCTCAATCAACTCCAGTCATTCCTTACTTTCATCTAGACACACCTACTCATCCACCCATTCATTCTGACATTTAGATGGGGCAGTCTATGTAGGTCGGATGTAAAAGGTCCTTCCCCGCTATCCCCAGACGAAACATGACATGCAGGAAGGAAATAGACTGACAAAAGGAGATGATAAGAAAGAGCAAAGCTATGACTAGAGAATAGAGGAAGGATGAAATGAAAGATAGGAAAGAAGCCAAAGAAAGAAGAAAGAAAAGATAGAGAACATAAACAGGAAAAGGAAATTGAAAATAAAATTGTTCAGCGAACAATAACGTATAAATAAAAGAAAATCATGAATAAAACAACGAAAAAGTAAATAAATATATAAAACTATGATAAAATAAATAAATAATTAAAACCGTGTAAAAATAAAATAGGAAAAATTAAATTAGACAGTCAGTTTGGTTTGGGTGTATAGGGTCCTCCCCCCACTGGCTGCCTTTTACGACACAAGACACGTCAAAAAATAAATATACGGTCATCCTGTCTGCAGTCGCCTCTCTTTTTCTTCTTTATGTTTTATTGTCTGTGTGGCAAAAGCAATGATCAGGTCGAAGTCATGCTTGCTTTCGATAGCTCTATCAATTAGCTCGCCTAGAGGGGATCCCAGGCCCAGCTGCAGCTCGGTACGCCCCGCGTGATATGCGAGGCATACGAACACGACATGCCGTGTCATCGACCACCCCGCACTCAGGACATAGATCGTTCTCGGTTTTCTCTATACAATGGGTGTATTTCCTGAACGATCCATGCCCTATCAAGAACTGTATGAGGTAATAGTTGACGCGCCGATGTCGGCACCCGTACCACCTCACTGCGTCCGGGATCAGGGATCTCGTCCAGTCAGGCTTCCCGACTTCTCTCCCTCTCCAAGATGTGCACCGGTACAGAACCGGCCGCCACTTGGTAATGGTTGATACAGTCCTGTATGCACTGCACACCCTGATCAGGGGTTTCCTCTGAGCCCTAATAAGCATGTCTTTATACTTTTTCACCGAAGGACCTCGTGCCACACTGGGGCCCCGTATAGTATTATGGACAGTATTGATTGAAGCATTACTGACTTTTTTTGGGATCCGGGTCCCCCGATTTTGGGCATTAACTTGTTCAGTGTTGAGGTCCATTCTTCCGACATGCTGCTTGCACATGCTGTCCGAAAGAGAGTCTGTCATCGAAGGTTATTCCTAAGTAACTCACTGTCCGTAAGTATTGAAGATTATATCGTTTCTTTTTCGTGGTCCCCTCAAGATTATTACTTCTGTCTTTTCTACTGCTAGTTTTAGGTCGTTCTTCTCTATCCACGGCGCGGTCGTTCTTGTCGCATTATTTACCTTTTCTGTTCTTCCCCAATTCGTATCGTCTTCTACCAATAGGGCTAGATCGTCCGCGTGTGCTATCGCTCTCACTCCTCTCTTCTTGTGTATTTCTAGTATCCCATTATATAGTACCTATGTTCCAAAGTAAGGGTCCCAGGACTGACCCCTGGGGTACTCCCGCGGTCATTTCTTTCTTTTTCTTCTTGGATATGCATACGGATCTTTCCGATAAGTAGTCCTTTATTATATTGGATAAAACTAAATTTCATTATTGAACACCCTTTACAATAGGGAAGCTGTCAACACAAAATGTGCAACTGTTAAGCAACAGTTTTTCACTCAAGCCTAATGGTGTATGGACCAGCGAAGCAGCAGACGTTTTTAAGAGTAACAAACCTGCCCTTCCGATGGAAATGATCGAGTATCAGAAAGATTCCGCTTTAAAGGAGGTTTATACGCTCGTTTATACTCGCTATAGGTTCCAGAAACGCTTGACAGGGACAAATTTTGAATTAAATATATGTGACAAAAAATATCCTGGTTCCAAATACGTAAGGAGGATGATCTCCTGAGGGTGGGTTACAACTACTGGAGGGTTTCAGGATAACACCCCCCCCCGGTTACGCCACTGCCTGGTTTAGTACTGAGTATCCGGACCGCGGAAGTGTAGTAGGTTTTCGAAACGGACCCTCAGGGAGTATAATTGGTGACCCCTGCTATAAAAGATTAAGAAGGTATAAATAATGTAGGATTACAAATTAAGGGGTTAATTTGTGATTGAACATATTGGCCACTATATAAAAAACAAACAGACCACCAATAGAAAATATTTAAACACATATAAAATAATATAACAATAATCATAACACTAATTTACTTGGCTTTTGAATTATTATCTCACCCGAGCAGTGCTACCTTGCTCGGGTGAGTATATATATATATATATATATATATATATATATATATATATATATATATATATATATACATATATATATATATATATATATATATATATATATATATATATATATAATATATATAGATGAAAACATATATATATTAAATTAAAATTAAATTAAATTCTTTATTTTCTTTTTGACAAACATAGTTTGTATAGAATTAGTCATAAATATACATTGCTACAAACTAAACACTAAACTAGACTAAACAAGACATGAAATGAATTTAAAAGCTAAACGAAATACAGCTAATATCTAAGATCTAAAAAATTCTTCGATTGTATAAAACACTTTTTCACATAAAAATTGCTTAAGATTCCTCTTAAATACATTTATTGAACTGGTGGACTTTACAACTCTGGGCAAATGATTAAACACCTGTAGCCCGTATACCCTGGGCGATTTAAATTTAATGTTACCTTTTGAAAATGGTATATAAAGTTTATTACAATATCTAGTATTTAAATTATGCATATCACCACTCGTTTTAAACTGATGTAAGTTATTAAAAATAAAAACACATAATTCAAAAATGTATAGACACGACAATGTTAAAATTTTATATTTTTTAAAATATTCTCTACAACTAGTTAGTCGGGAGACACCAGCGACACAACGCAATATTTTCTTTTGTATGACGAAAATGCCATTTGCATAACCAGACACACCCCAAAAACATATCCCGTATCTTAGCCTGGACTCTACGAGTGCATAATAAATCATAATTAGCTGATTTTCCGTCAGAACATATTTTAAATTTCTAATTAGATAGTTAATAGAACTCAACTTCGAAACAACCGCTCCACAATGCAACTTCCAATCCAAACTTTCGTCAATCGTTATTCCCAAAAACTTGCCTGACGACACGGTACCTATTTGCATGTTGTTAAAAGTAAGCTGAAGATTTTCCAAGTATTTTTGTTTATTGTGAAAATGTATAACTTGCGTTTTTTCTACATTTAGATGCAACGAGTTATCGCAAAACCAAGAATATAAAGATGAAAGAAAATTATTACATTGATGTTGTTGGATTTGTTCGATAGAATAATTGACGTATCATCCGCATATATAGTGAAATTTACCGCTCTGTCCACTTAATGTACGATGTCGTTAATGTAGACTACAAAGAGAATTGGTCCTATTATAGATCCTTGGGGAACACCCATGTTTGTAGTAACAAGACTAGATCTACAACTGGTCACACAATCCTCGATCCTTGTCTGCAGGCTCACATATTGTTGTCTATTGTTTAAAAATGACATAATCCACTTTAAAGAGTTTCCTGTAATACCTATCTGTTTTAGTTTTTTAAATAATATTTCATGGTTCACACAGTCAAATGCCCTACTAAGATCACAAAATATTCCAATAGGACATTCGCCTGCATCAAACAGACTGGTTAAATGAGCATAAAATGCACGGACTGCCGTATTAGTAGATTTATTTTCTTGAAATCCATGTTGATTTATAGTTATGATATTATTGTTTTTTAGATGACCATTTAATCTCTTTAAATATCCATACTCAAATACCTTTGAAAATATACTGGGAATTGTTATAGGCCTATAATTGCTGACCAGTTTTGGATCTCCCTTTTTAAAAATGGGAACTACTTTGCCTGTCTTTAAGTAATTAGGAAAATCCCCATTGCAAAAAGACAAATTGGTTAGATAAGTTAAAGGATTGATTATAAAAGGTAAAACTTTTTTCACCAAAAATGCAGGTATCTCGTCAAAACCACTAGAGGATTTGTTTTTAAGTTTACTCTGGAGGAGTTCGATCAGTTCCTGCCCAGTAAATGGGTACAATTGAAAGAAATTTTCATCATCTGTAATAATTGACTGACTGTCTTTGTCTACTGTATTACC